GGACGACCATATAAAATACCTGAACTGTATGCCAGACACTCCTATACCTTTGCAGAGTGACAGTACGCCAATCCAGGTCGGCGACTGGGTGCTAATAAAGGTCATCAAAAGAAAGTGTTGGTCGAGTCCAAAGTGGGAAGGCCCATACCAGGTGTTGCTGACGACACCTACAGCCATAAAGATTGCTGAACGACCATCTTGGATTCCTCTTTCGCATTGCAAGAGACAGCGGTTCTTGGTACAGGATCCAATTGGTTGAGGGGAAGTCTTACTACAAAGGGGTGTAGCTATTACAAAAGCTATACGTCTCAACGTTGGTGACGCAGGGAGATCCTCAGCCATTTAGCGTGATTACTGTATTGGGCTAACCATAGTCCTGCAGACATAAGATGATTGACAAAGAGAGTGAAGTGCTGGTAACCTCTCCTCTCAAAATGATGACGACAGAAGATATTCGACCCAAGCCAAAACCATGGCACCCATTCCGTAGATTAGGAGTTCCAATGCGACTCTCAGTGTGTGTATTGATAGTCACAGGAGTCGTCCTGGTGCTGCCTATCGTACTCACTCTAAAAGACAAAGAGCTACAGAAAAACAACACCACCACTGACCACCCATCAATGATGAAAGATCCAGCAGAGCAACACCATTCACACAAGAGAGTAAAAAGAGAAAACACTGAAGAAACGAATGATTCTAAATGTTTACATAACTATGTGGTATTACTCTTGAATATATATTAGGTAAGACAATGGCATACACGTTCGATCTGTGTTCATTAATTAATTGCAACAATTTGAACTACACTTACAAACCTTATGACATATATGTGTGTTTTCATTATTATGTCCATAGCCAATGTGAACAGAATTGGCTGTCCCATGATGGAGGATGGTGTGGAAATTAGAACATGGTAGTAGGATATACAGGTCAATGGATTCCCACAATGCCAGATGGAAATGTGTACAGAGATAAAGACATTTGGGATCAAGTGAAAGTCCAACGATTATTCCACCACCCAAAATCCGATCACTATTTCCCTGAATTGGACTTGATCACCAAGGGGGAGTAATTGGAAACTCTCTGGTAAAACAAATCAAACTGAAATACATTTGGTCCTTGGAGTAGATCAGACTGGAACAGATCCAATGGGATTCATTAGAGTAGTAATTAGGAATGAAATAACGAAACATGACAACTTTGTCAACACCTGTAACTCAATCTCCCGGTGAAGGGATGGAAATCATAACCGAAGATTATACTCAAACCTCAGGTAAAAGTGTGGAGGTCATAGCTGTAGATTACACTAGAACGCCTAAAGACATCATGACCATGGTTACGGGGTATACAACTGAAAATTTGTGGTTAAAATGGTTAATGAACACTGCAAAAGAGAATGGTATTGATGATTGTGTTGCATGTGCTTCTGCAAGACCACAGCTGTTTACAGAGCAAGCCCCATTATTCCCAAATGATACCTGGGGATATAACTGTATGTTAAAATTGACACATGAAGCTACCACTCTAAATTTCACCACACTAGCATCAATCTTCCCACCAATTTCTAATAAAACCAAAACAGGGGCATTTACTCCTCACAAAGGCAAAGGACACTATGTGTGCTTTAATTATACCCATTAAAATCCCAAAGTATATATGGGAAAGACTGATCCATCCTGGTGCAAAATTACAATGAGTGGCAGCATGATTGGAAGATGGGGACGGGCAGGACTGTATCATTACTGTGGTGAGCAAAGATTGATGATTCAAATCCCATCGAAGGCTGTTGGAATCTGTGCAATAGTACAATTAGGTTAGATTTGGTCATAATTGGGCAAAACAAACTAGTACCTGTGGGTATAACCCCGCATTTAGGGGCAACCCTCACAGGAAAAAGAAGACGCCACATGGAGGAAAAGAGAGATGCAAATTCATCTCACTTTAAACAGACTTACATTGACGCTATTGGAGTTCCAAGTGTCATGCTTTAAACTTGGTAATGACCCAAATGCAGGCTCAGACGACGTTACGTGAAAAACAAGGATTTATTTTCCAATTCTACTTCAACAGGAATCACAAGGACAATAGTTCAAGTCAATCTCGACGTTAGCTACCACAGTGGCTGAACAAACGATCTGACGACCAGTGGGAGAAAGGCCAGGGTTTTTATGCCGTCAGAGTGATGGGTTGATTGAAGGCAGGTGCTGAGGAACGGCAGGTGTGCTTCAGTGATTAGCCAGGCAGAGTCAGGGAAATGTGCCACGCCCACTACACAGACAGAGAAAAGTGCACAACACAAGAATGGGGAAAACACAGGGAAACACAGGGAACGACAGTCCCGACTGTCATCGTGACACCAAGAGGAATTCCAAATGAGTATAAACTGCAAGATCAAGTTGCAGCAGGATTTGCAAGCTTAACAATTATATCAGCAATCTTTCCAGTGCAACCAAATAAGAATGTTGATTTCATTAACTATGTACACTTCAATGTCCTACGACTGACAAACCTGACGAGAGACGCCATAGAGGGGCTGTCTGAACAGCTTGCTCCAACCTCACTAATGTCACTACAAAATCATATGGCATTGGACATGATGTTGGCAGAAAAAAGAGGAGTTTGTGCGATGTTTGGAGAGATGTGTTGTACTTTCATACCAAATAATACTGCTCCGGATGGAACAGTAACGAAGGCCCTCCAAGGACTTAAGACATTGTCTAGACTCTAGACAAATGCATGAAGATTACGGTGCTGGTAATTTTCTTGAGGAATCGTTTGAACGAACTTTTGTTAAATGGAAAACTTTAATTGTAACTCTCTTAACGTCCATATTCTCATTTGTGGCTATATTGATAACCTGTAGCTGCTGATGATAAACAGGAGGGAAATGTTGGAAGAATTTCATTTATTATCATTGCTTCATGCTGTACTATCACTTTAACAAACTGCTTGCTTCCCATATTTACTCCAGTGTGTTACTGTCGCTTTAAGAAACTGCTTGCTTCTCATCTTTACCTTGTCACACCCCATTTACACCCATTTTCATATCCAGCTTCTTTCTCCATATGCTCACACAAAATCAAATTTTATGTAATCTGATACTTTTATAAACTAAATAAAAGAGCAGAGGAAGGGTGCAGCAACTCTGAGTTGATGAGGAAGCTGCCAGAAGAGTAAGCTGCACTCTCCCCTTGCAAGAAAAATATCCAGATGTCTTTTGTGTTGTTTACTTTGTCGTCATTTATGTTAGAATAAACCTGACACCGCAGCACTGTAAATTCCTTTGCATGGTGTCCACTAAAGTGCTGACACTGTCAGAGGTGCTGTGGTGTTTCACAGCTTTTGTAAAGAAATTGGCCACAGTGTTTCTGACCTTAGGCCTGAAGAGAAAACCTGAGGTGCCCGCAGCAAGCATGGCCAACATCGAGCAGAAGCCATACAGTTTGAGCAACCAGGGGCTGCCCTTGCATGTGGCAATGCAACCAAACAGTCCAAATACAACAATTACAGCACCCGTACCAATGAGGACATATGATGCAATGGTGGACTTCTCTGAAATCACAAAGTCATAGGAGTTGAGGCTCACTTTTGCCCACACCCCCACTGCCAACAAGATCACGCCTAAAGGCCAGAATATAACACTTTAGGTGACGAGAAAAGTTTTCGGACATGTAAACTTTGTCTATTTGGGAATATCTGGAGACAGTGGAGACATCACCTTATTTTTCTTCTTTTGTCAAGCTGAAAAGATGCGAACTGAGAATCCCGAGAAAATTTGGCTTGTTGATTCAAGAGCTTTTCAGCTACCTTCTTTCGTCTTTGTATCTTTTTCTTCCCTCAAAAGCGTTTAGAAGGTAAAAGCGCTTTCTTACATCAAAGGATCAAAGGCCATGCGTCATAAATATGTAGTACCACAGGGTGGGAATCTAATCAAGCTCACGCCTTACAGTCAACATATGTTGTCTTTTTTTTTTTTAGTCTTTAGAATAAGACACCTTTTCAATATTGCTGGTATTGACATAAAACAGCCACAAAAAATAAATTGAAAAAATATAGAATGTTCTTCAAAAACATGCGTCACTCATGACGTTCTTTCCTCCTGTCAGAGCCAAAACTTCCGGAAGAAGCGGAAGACAACAGTTGTCGGCTTGTGTTTGACACTTTAAAAGGGGAATAAAACAGGAGACATTTCGTTTAAGGAATTGAAACATCAACCGTCAACATGGTGAGTACCTGGAAACTAATTTGTTAAATAGTAATTTGTAAATGGACAAATAGTCCCTGCCGTACTTTATCTGTCGTGACGCCAGTAGCAACAACATGACTGAAAGAAAGATGCTCTGTCATGGTGAAACGAACCGACCTCTCCAACGTTTAGTAAAATACCAGAGCAATCTGCACTTCCTTGATGAATGTTATTTGCTTTGTTCGTACAGTTTTCTTTTAATGTTTTCGACCACCCCATGGTCCGGGGTCCTCAGAATCGCTTCTCCACACAGTACCGCTGCTACTCGGTGTCCATGCTGGCAGGACCAAACGACCGCTCTGATGTTGAGAAGGGAGGCAAAAGTGAGTTTTTATTCAAGGGAACCCAAATATGTTTATATGTTTTTCACATGTTTTGATTTACTGCAATGCTATTTTTTTTTTGTTTACAGTAATAATGCCGCCTTCAGCTCTTGACCAGCTCAGTAAGTACATCTTAAGTCTAAATCTCTGTTTGTTTGTTCATGTGCATTTATGCTTCATGTTTGACCACCATTGTACACTATCCGTCTTTCCAGGCAGACTCAATATCACCTACCCAATGTTGTTCAAGCTGACCAACAAAAACTCTGACAGAATGACACACTGCGGTGTTCTGGAGTTTGTGGCAGACGAGGGAATCTGTTACTTACCACACTGGGTAAAAAGAGTTACACAAGATGCTTGTTTCCCACTATTTACTTTTTAGCAAATGGTAAAAGCACAAAGGCGATTGTTATGAATAATTTACTGTGTACTGTGTCATCTGCAGATGATGCAGAATCTGCTGCTGGAAGAAGGTGGTCTGGTCCAGGTGGAAAGTGTTAATCTTATGGTTGCTACTTATTCAAAGTTCCAGCCACAGAGTCCTGATTTCCTTGACATTACCAACCCAAAGGCAGTGTAAGAAATGTCACTGTTTCTCTGGGACATTTACTTATAACCTTTTATTTCTGTAAATCATTTACTAATTTGTGACTTTGATACAGACTGGAGAATGCATTAAGAAACTTTGCATGCTTGACAACTGGCGATGTCATAGCAATCAGCTACAATGAAAAGGTAAATAGTTAATTTATTATTTAATATATCATTATTTGTGTTGTTTTCTTTTACGGAAAAACACTACATGTGTTTGTTTGTTTTTGTTTTTCAGATATATGAGCTGCGAGTGATGGAGACAAAACCTGACAAAGCAGTGTCCATCATAGAGTGTGATATGAATGTAAGACCTCTTTTTTAAATCATAGACACAAACAAAAACATTTTTATGAATTGTGTGTTAACTTTTCTTTCGTTAGGTTGATTTTGATGCTCCGCTCGGTTACAAAGAACCAGAGCGACGACCTCAGTACCAGGACGAACCTACTGTGAGAACCAAACCCTGAAATGAAGCGTATAGTTTGTGTTAGCTGTGAAATTAACTGTACATTTCTACACAGGAGGAAGAAGCAGAATCTAATAATTATGCTGACATGGACACAGGGTTTAGGGTAATTGTCCTTAGAAATCACATGTACACGTGATTTAACTGATCAGAATGGTCTTTATAATTAAACATTTGTTTCTGGTTCTCAGGCTTTCTCTGGTTCTGGAAATCGTTTGGATGGTAAAACAAAAGGCATCGAACCCAGCCCTGCACCCCTCTGCCCCAGTGACATTAAAAGGTGAAAAGCTGTTCCATCAATGTAGACATGATATATACAGTATGGTGTATGTTATGCCTTTACATATTTTGCATATTGATGATATATAAGTATGTATAAGTGTGAACATATCAATCTAAATTCACTTAAAACAAAGCAAATTTGAACTGTATTTCAAAGCTCAGCAGTGATCATAACAAACGTCGTTTCATCTTTATCACAGAGGCATTCCCAACTACGGCTTTAAAGTCGGTAGAATCACATTCATCCGAAACTCCAGGCTTCAGCCTAAGAAAACTGCAGATGACGTAAGATTTAAAAAAAACAAAACTTTTTTTTTGTATTATTTTGTCATTTATTGTATATTATTGTCAAAGTTCTGATAATTGTACTGGTGTGTGATTGATTATCTCTATTCCTTTTTTTCAATATTTTATTTGGAAATCTCCTGTAATCCTCCCAGGATGAAGCCATGAACAGATTCATCGCCTTCTCTGGACAAGGGCAGTCGCTACGCAAAAAAGCCAGAAAGCCTTGAGAAGTGTGAGGGTGCTGCTCATGTGCACGAGCTCGACTGACCTTACCATCACTTTGCACAGCAAAGTACAAAAAAAACTGGTTTTTGGATGCACAAGGGATTTTTCCTCTCTGTCCTGGATGGATGTTTTGCTGTGGAGCTGGAATTAAAGTCTGTAATTAACGTTCTGTCAGTTTTAGTTAAGTCTACGGATATGAAGGTTCCCTGATTTGAGCTTGGGAGATTAGATCAGATTCTGTTATACCAGACTTTCAGGTTGACTTTATACTACTTTTCACAGTTTCAACATTTCTTCTATTCATATTACCTACATTCATACATACATTTGTTTTATTGTTGTTATTTTCCTCTTATTCCACCTAGTAATTGAATGAATGTGAACTACTTGTCATTGTGACACAGCACACACTGCACACATCGAAACTGCACACAATGAAATATGATCTGCTTTTAACCCATCAAAGTGAACAGTGGGCAGTTCTAAGCTGTAACCTTCCAGACCCTGCTTCCTTAACCACTAAGCCACCACTACCCGGTATATTTATAAATAAATCCAAGTTGTTTTCTGCAAGACAAGTATTGCTGCTGGTGATCCTGTTTTCACAAGTCACTACACAAACAGAAAATCCTTAGACTTTGTCATTAAATATATTTGTGATTAAAGTTTAAAGGGCCATATTAATGAAGAAGACGCTAATAATAAAATTAGTTTTAATTTCTCTTTTATTGCAGACATTGGAGAAATTACGAATCAGTCCATTCAATCTTCTATGGCCCAATTTTATAAAAGGGCTGAGCCCTTATGAACAGTCCACGCACATTGGGAAAACATCTAAACTGGGGGCCATCACAACACGCTGTTGTGCACACACATTTAGGAAAGTTGCTGGTACTTGTGTATCAGAATTGCCTAGTTGGCTATAGCTTTATCTTACAATGGCATTTTTATTTCTCAACATTTTTAGAGTAACTCCTGGGTGGCTTGTTTATTTTAAATTTATTAAACTAAATATAAAGACGACAGTTATGGCTGTTGATTATACTTTTGTTTTGACATTTATCCGAAATCCGAAAATACGCCTTGGAGGATAATTATAATATCATGCAGCATATATTTTCATTATTCGTATAGTATACATCAGGGGTCTCAGACTGGCGGCCCGG